AATCATTTTATTTTTGCAGCAGACATTCAGTACCATTCTTTAACACATTATAACCAGATTGAACGGACAATAAACAATTAATAATACAGCGATGGATTAACTTCAAACCGATCCCCTGTTTATAAAGATTAGGACAAATTTATGTTAATAACTGATTCCAATTAAGATGCATGTATGTTGCTACCTCGCACTTTTGTCCTGATACCATTTAGACGAATAATTGAACTTTCAGGTTGAACACTGTTAATAATTGTTCCAGAAAGCAATTGTAAATTGTCAAATACTAACCTCGGGCGGGGGGTCAGCAAAAATTGCGTTGACTAAGCATGTATTTAACCGGATTCTGGAAATGGGTACACGTCCGAATTTTGACAACCAAATTGTAATGATAACTAAACCATTTATTACACACCATCCTTCTGGAACAAGGAGTGCATGACAGTTTTTGTTTTGAAGCGTGGGGTTGGGAATCAACTAAGTAAACAACTTAGTGAGGAAATGTTCAATACTGGCCCGGTTCTCCGTCACCCGGTCGCCTGGCGTTCTCATCACGCAAAATCCGTCCCACTTCCAATACTGTAGAAACTCTCAATTCCCTTAAGCATATGCAAAGGAAGATTTATTGATTTATTTGCAAATCAATGCTTGAAACAAACACTTCTTCGTGATTTATGCGGTTACCTGTTTGTTTATAAACTTTTAAATTGTTTCATTGCATATATCGGTAGAAGCGGAACTCAATTCTAGCGGACAACAACGGTGTCGACAAACGTACTCATAGAGACTGCGTTATTTAATATTCTGAATCTTAAAGATTTTATTTCAGACACGTAGCTATGAGCGACCCACCGATATACGACAATTCAATGCGAATTATTCACGGCACACAACACGGGAAAATGAGAAGAAATATGAAACACCGTAATACATTTCTGAGCAATTGAATTAAAAGCATTTCTCGACACATATATTCGAAACACTTCATTAGTATATTTGAATTCAAATTAACTCCTTTAGACATATCGTCTTTAGAGGTTTTTACGTCACAGTCGCCATTGTCGTCCTGTTTCGGTGGCGCTGGTACGATGGCGGATGTGTGGATGTGAAAACTATCAAAAAAATATTGACGGGTGACAACAAATGAATGTTATTTACTTTCCCGAGTACGGTTAGAGACTTACCTAACGCAACCATAAGCAACACGATGCTCAAACAGAATGATAAATTTGTGTTGTTGTCCATAGCTATACTGTACAGAGTTTGTTTTCACGAATAACATAACAAATTATCCATGCAACGGCACTTAACAACATGGGGCGATCCGAATTAACTTTACCCAGTACCAATAATCGATATTGTTCTGCCACACAACCAATTTCAATTACTGACTCAATACTCTTCTCAATAAATCGGATGTCGGGTCACAGATAACATAAACTTAACTGAACTGATTGGAGGATAAACCTAATTATTGGAGAGGTCAAGATTAAAATGTGTAACTTAAGAAAACCAATGTAAAAGTAATATTTTTATTAATTTTCTGGAGAGAAATGCGACACTTCGTGTTTAAATTTGAAAAATGTCTGATTCATTCTCCTTGAGCAATATTATCTATCAATAATGCTATTATTTGTTGGCAATGTGCTATTATTTTTAATTCTGCTTTTGTTTTCCAAAATTTTGAGGGATTTATTTCTACCTGATCCAACTCATTTAAAAACTTTTCTTTATATAATTTACTTTTTTTAATATTTTGTTCAGCTGGATAAATCTGAATCTGACATATGGCTCCTTTTTACATAAACTTACATATTATCCATTCCTCTGAATTCTCTAAATATAGCATAGCTCATCAATCTTTTTTTACTAATTATTTGAGCTAGGTATAACGTCGTTAATGATGGTTTTGGACGTTTTGATTTCATACTTATGTTTGAAAAACAGTGCAACAATGCATTAGTATGTACGTCTTTGCCGACCCCCCCCCCCCACACACACACTTAACGTGTTCTAACTAGACAAAATTGCGTTACAAGTTACTTAAGTTAGGCCAGCGGAAATAAAATTAAATATGGAAACATTTTTCATATAGAGTAGATTATAATAGCCTCATTCACTATAAATATGGAATATATACCATGTGATGACAATGGTTATATACTAGTACAGTTCATATGCAGACTCTCTATGAAAAAGAAAAGTTTCTGCGAAACACAGAAACTTCACAAGAAACTACTTTTAAAAAAACATGTCAAAATCGTCAATAGTGTTGTGTTGCGCATTTATTGACCAAGAGCGTGTTACTTGTATGGCCTGGTTACAAAGATATCTTCACAAACTGCAAATATATTGTTTTCCGTCGTTAATGTCAATTAAATAGGCAGTAGTAGCAGTATATCACACATATTCAAGTTATATACCAACAACTCAACATTAGAATGTGACTGCAAAATATGTGTACATAATATATTTTCACATGTAGTATATGCTTGTATAAATCACATTTTGGCTGGATTCATAGCTCGACACTGGCTGCGAACGCTAGGGACAACTAATACTGGGAATGGCATAAACATGTCCAAGACGATCAAAGGCAACCACTAACATCCACTTCTACCAGCTCAATATTGTCAATCCAACACCTACACACTAACACTCGCATCTACAGTCATAGAGTGACTGAAATACAAGTTATTTTCAAGTGTAATCAAATATTTAAATAGTTGAATTCCTGTTTTTCATAATTAATCTTTTATTCGTTACATTTAAATATATATATATATATATATATATAGAGAGAGAGAGAGAGAGAGAGAGAGAGAGAGAGAGAGAGAGAGAGAGAGAGAGAGAGAGAGAGAGAGAGAGAGTGCGCTCTTCACAATTAAATAAATGCATGGTGATGTTTAGCCTCCATTGTTCACAATGCAAGTTGCTATTCGTAAATAACAAACAATCTATGTTGCATGGTCATCGGTATAGCTTACCCACTACACCGTAATTTGGCAGTACTATCCATTGTGCTAGGGGGTTAGTTTCTATTTTTTTCGAATGACAACCAATAATTCACTGTTTCCCCCACATTGTTCTAATTTAATTGTACAGATAAATATTCTCTTCATGATGTTAAAACCTTCCGAGCCCCCTATTGATTATATCGGAAACGAACCCGCTATTAGCAAGGTCATGGTCACCCTCCTCCCTTCCCAGCCCACACAGTGATCCACCGACATCCCCCCAAGGCTCAAGAAATTTGGTCAGTGTTTAAAATGTATTTTTCGTATGTCGGCCCTGCTAAAACAGAACAACTTATAGTACACCCCCCCCCGAAAGCTTTGACAAAACAATCATAAGTTGTTCCTTCAGTAGGGTTCACTCAACGTAGACGAGGTCGGAGTCCACACTCACCACAACCGGAAGTCAGACGAAGTGTCACCCATACACGGCCACTCAAAGGATCGTTTATTTTAAAACATGGCGGACGCAGACGATGTGCATTTGGCAGAATGCAGTAACTCCCACGTATTTATTTTATGTAATTACTCGTTTAATGATGGAAGAGAGATTCAGCCTGGCTTCAAAACGGACGCGGGTAAGTGGTGTAGTTCTGCATTATTGTAGTCTGTTTTGCCAATGTTGTTGCTATAATAACATAATAGTCAACATTGTGCACTCCGTTGTTTCGTGGTTAAACAGTGAAATGTTTGGGGTGAAACGAATACATATTTATATTGTACACTACTATAGTGCTACATTTTAATGGTTTTTGATAACAAATAAATTTGACCTTGACAAGTGACCTCAGTTATGCTCATAGCATTCACTGTGCCACAGCGATCAACTAATCCCGAGTTTGTATGTTCAGGTGTTTTTACTAATATTTGCTTTTCGTATAGTTCGATAATATTTCGAAATTGTCAATTGTGGGTGATATAATAGTAAATTGGAGAAATGCGAGTCTAATCATTCTCTTCTACTAGTATCTTCGTTTACCACGCCCTCTTGTGGTGGCTTCTACTGTACCGTTCTTATTATTTTTGACCACGGACAAAAGGAGAATGAGTCGAAATCTATTGTGAATGTCAGCCTTAAATTTTTCACCACCAGTTCCTTCTTTTCATCACAAACTCACAAAATAGTCCTGTTTATAGTCTGCACTTTCCTTCAAAATATTGGAACAAAAATAGCCAAATTGTTGGCGTAAAAACTTAAAATTGTCTGTTGGCTCCAAAATTAGGGTTTATTTTGAGAAATATTGAAGAATATAAGAATAAAGTGCAGAAAAATGTTGGCGAGAAAGTCCGGTGATGAAAAGGTTAATCAAAATAAGTAAATGTACATGTGTGTTTGTTACTGTTTTTTTATCGACGTATTCGTGTTCTCTCTTATAGCACTGATAAAAGAAACGTTTGTTTCCCTGGAATTTAACACAACCGTGTACTATAACTTAGAAGCAGGGAAAATGTCGTCATTGTTTAGTATGTTTAAACATCTGGACGAAGATACTGACTGTCTGTTGATATTTCTGATAACGCACGGCTCCTTCGTTGGTGTGAAAGGTACGGATGGAAAAACCATAACTGGATACGACATTATGAAAGAGTTAAGCAATGAAGACTGTCCTAACCTGGCTAACAAACCAAAAATGATTTTCCTCAGCACCTACGAGTCTGATGACGGTGTGCAGAGAATACAACGACCGATGTACCCAGACATGCTGATTGTGACATCATCAGTTGATACGTCAGCGTATGACGCTGCCATAAAAGATGGGTGTCAATACACGGCCGATATTTGTAAATACGTTAAGAAAAAATGGAAGAAACACGATTTGAGTGATATTTTACAAATAGCGACAGAAGCAAGTAAAGCTCGTGACGTCAGAGAAAAAAAGACGGGTATTGATCCACACGTAATGAGTACCCTGAGAAAACCGCTTAGGTTCAAATGAATAACATGTATTTTCATCATATCATAGTTTATTGGCTAAATATATTAAAGCGGGAGGGTCGTTACTTGCGCACGCGCGGGATTTGAGTCCTAAGCGACGATAACAACACACTCTAATTACGCAAAGACTCATGGGTAGACGTTAGTTTGTAAACAATAACACGCTATGGCCACCTGACGCATGCGTGGGTGACGACTCCCCGCTTTAAACAATACACATAGAAATTAGATTGCCTTGCAATAAAAGTAAAATAAAAAAAGTAAATACAATCATTTGACTAGATGCAACAACGACTACCTCGGGGCCTTACATAAATGTGACGTCATGCGTTGGACGGCTATAGGCCGGGAGCCTTTGGCTCACCGGAACGATGTGGATGCCAGAGATCGATAGCGCCTGTCGGACGGTAGGAGTTCGACCAAATCATGCGCGGGATGAGACGTGTCGCCTATGATTCGTTCGGCTCGTTTGCGTTTCCAGTACACGTCGCATAGAGGGGGGAAGCATTTGTAGAATTTTGTTAACATTTAAAAATACTAATATTTTCTTGTGTTAACGGTACTTTGTCTTGGGATTATCAATCGTTTTCTCACCTGTCAAACGCTCGAATTCACATTCGTATCCAAAGAAACTTTCATTTCATGATGTTAACTTTAATTCAATATTTTTGGTAAGTGTGATATTTTCGACTTCTTGTAAAAAAACGCAAGTCCGATTGCTTTGATATTACATATTTAGTTACTACAGGTAAACCTCTCTCAAATTTGAACATTTCGTGATGATATCTTCAATTCTCTAATTTTAATGAATATTTTTGTCTTTTTTGGTAACAAAATGATATTTTCGACTTGTTAAAAACCAGAAGTTTGATTGATTTTAGGTTATACATATACGTACCTCAGGCAGACCTATTTTAGATTTGTTCATTTCATGATGATATCTTCAATTATTTAATTTTGATGAATATTTTTGTAATTTTTGGTAAAAAGTGATATTTTTAACTTCTTGTTAAAAACCCAAGTCCAATTGCTTTGATATTACATATATACGTACTACATGTGGACCTCTCTCAAATGTGTTAATTTTGTAATGATATCTTTAATTCTTTAATTTTAGTGAATATTTTTGGTAAAAAGTCATATTTTCGACTTCTTGTTAAAAACCACAAGTCCAATTGTTTTAATATTATACGTATACGTACTACACGTGGACCTCTCTCAGACTTGTTCATTTTGTGATGATATCGTTAATTCTCGAATTGAATTCTCTTGTTAAAACAGCAAGTCCGATTGCTTTGATACTATACATAATGTTCATTTTCTAATGATATCTTCTGTTCTTTAATTGAAATCTGCATTGCTAACAGCGGAGCTATCTCAGACGAGTGGCTGTTTGTTATAATATTGTTGATAATTTGAGTTTAAGAATCGAAATTGGAAATTGCGTACAAGTTACGACATTTAATTTGGAAAATGCTTTATACGCTTTGTACAAATTACGGACGAATAAACTAGCTGATTACATTTTACACCTTGCCCATGTCTACGGATTAGTTTTGTTTTTGACTCTCGTGTGCGAAGCACAAAAGGGAGTTTTTGCAGCAACCCTGTCTGTATGTATGTATGTATGTATGTATGCATGCTAATTAGCTGCACACGCTGATACATCGCTCCTACAAGTTGGCAATTTTTCACCCTTGTAGAAACACAGTTTCTTGCTAGTACTTGTTTGTAAATATTTGGTGATCGATTTGAAGGTATTTTGATGA